TTTGGCCCATTTTCTTTCATTCTCTCTTGGTTGGACGATTTTTTGAGAGTTTCAAGTGGGGGTTTTCATTATCTATGTCAAGGTAAGTTATTCTCACCTCATTATAAGTTAAATACATGGTTTGTATAAGGATTTAAACATGGAAAGTTGTAGAAATTGTGGGGTTTTGGTAGAAAATCAAGAATTTGGTATTTTTGGATTTTGACCATGAATTTGGGCATGGAATTGAGAATAAATTATATATTTTGAGTTCGTGAGGTTATGGGTATAGTTTATCTTCGAAAATTTTCGGAATCCAGGCACGCGGGCCCGAGGGTGATTTTATCAACTTTTCAAGCGGAGTTGGGAATTTGTTTGAATCAAATTGTTGTGAGTATTAGAGTATATATTTATGGAATTGCTCGTTTGTTGACTAGTTTTGGAGCGTTGGGCATCAGCTTGAGTTGTTGGAAAGGCTTGGGAGCCGGCGATGGAACTTCGGAGCGAGGTAAGTCTCCCTTCTAACCTTGTAAGAGGGAATTAACCCCATAGGTGAACTAATTAATATGTTCTTCTAATTATGGGGTCTACGTGCGCACGAGGTGACGAGAGTCTGTACGTAGCTACTAGCTATGCCTATGTCCGGGTAGTGTTAGGTTTACATCATGCCTTGTTGATATTGCTATTTGGTTTATGGTTATTGTTTGCCTTGAGAAGAAGCAAGATTGAGGTTGCATAATAATTGTCTTGAAAAAAATTGAAATTGACGAATTTAAGATTTTAAATGTTTTCATTTGAACTTCGTATTTTCGAAAAGAATTGAGGAATATTATAATAACTTAACAAATCTATGTGTAACCGTGTCGCAATTATATTCCACGAGCGGGGTAAATTTCTACTACTCTCATGGGAGCGGGTCTTTCGCCTCGGCAGATTAATAGATGCATCTATGGTTCGTGTCGTTCGACCCTCGGCAATGACAGTTTATATTTATATGTTTGATCGGGTCGTACAACCTCGACATGATTTGCGCATGATTGAATAGATTTCTTTGAAATTTATAATAAATGATATTGCCTTTTGGGCCTGAGATAAATTGTTAAATGATGAGAAATAAATTTGGAGATTCCTTAATTATGAAAGAATTTCTTACTTACTTCAAACTATTGAGCTTACAACCATTTTATATAACTCATGTTTAAATCATATCATTGGCATTTTATTTATAGCCCATAGTAAGTGTCGGAGTCGACCCCTCATCACTACTTCTTCGAGGTTAGACGGGATACTTAGTGGGTACGCGTTGTTTTCGTGCTCATACTACACTTGCTGTACATTTTGTTCTACAGGCACATGTATGTCTAGTGGCCTTGTGGGCGCAGCGGCGTAGTTGATACGGGAACTTAGGTGAGCTGCATCTTATATTACGATCCGCAGCCAGCTGTGTCTCCTTCAGAGTATTTATATTTCTCTCTTCTGTCCAAAGTTGTATTCCTGACAGATGATGTATTTTATTTTATTTTTCCTAGTTGATGCTTATGCACTTGTGACACCGGGTTTTGGGGTGATGATGGGTTTCTCAGTATTGAAATAATTAAAATATTATTATTTACTCCGTAATTCCACCTTTTTACTTCGTACGGACTCTCGTCACTTCGTGCGTACGTAGCCCCCACAAATAACCACATATTAATTAAGTTCACCAATAGGTAATTTTTCCTCTTACAAGGTTAGAAAAGAGACTTACCTCTCCTCAAAGCCTACTCTCTGGTCCAAGCTTATGCCAAAACCCTCAATTCAGTGCCGAATCATCCAAAACTATCCAAATAGTGTAAAAACTAATCAGTATAGGCTTAAAAGTTCATATCCCAACTATTAAAGTAATTTTCCAACTCTAAATGCAAGATTCCTAAAATTCATCCCCGGGACCACGTGCCCGGATTCCGGAAATTTTTGAAGAAAGTTGTTACCCGTAACCTTAGGAACATAAATATATGATTTTCATTAAGTTCCATAACCATTTTCGTGGTAAAACTCCATTTTTATCAAAAACCTAGGTTTCCCCCTAAACCCATAATTTTCACTAATTTACATATTATAATCAACCCATAAACTATATATGAAACTCACATTAGGTAGAAATTACTTACCTCACAAAGCTAGGTCGAAATCCCCTCTTTAAGAGCTCTCAAATCGCCCAAGAGTGTAATAAATGATCCTAAAAATGCCTAAGTCCCGATTTTAAACTCACTGCCCAGCTGCCTCCTTCTTCGCGAACGCGAAAGAGGCCTCACGTTCGCGAAGGCAAATGACTCAGCCCCCCGAAGACCCTTTATCGCGAACGCGACCAAGGTCTCACGAATGCGTAGGCTGGCTTGGCCTACCCTTTACGAACGCGAGGGTTGCTTCGCGAACGCGTTGCATATTTTCCCCCCAGTCCCAACTCCTTCTACGCGAACGCGATGGTCCCTTCGCGTTCGAAGAAGGAACCAGAACTGGGCATTTCTGGTTTCTTGCATATTGCTCCGAGGGGTCCAAAACTCACCCGAGCCACTCAGGACCCCGTCCAAAGGCACTAACAGGTCTATAATGATAATACGGACTGGCTCGAACTCTCGAAATGCAAAAAGCAACAACGAAACCAAGAATCATGCCACAAAACCAAATTGAATCAAACTTTGGACTTCAATTTTCCAAATTCTCCTAATGCGCCGAATCATACTTAGACTACTCGGAATGACTCCAAATTTTGCGTGCAAGTATTAAATGACATTACAGAACTATTACTTGTCTCGAAATTCAATTCGAACCTCGATATCACCAAAACCCGCTCCAAACCGAATTTAAAGAACTTCAAAGTTTTTCAAGAACCAACTTCCACTATTAGGCGCCGAAACGCTCCGGGTCATCCAAAACCCGATCCGAACATACGGCCAAGTCGAAAATCATCATACGAACCTATTAGAACTGTCAAATTCCGATTTCGAGGTCGTTTACTCTAAATGTTGATTGAAGTCAAACTTGACATTTTAAGCCAACCTTAAGGAACCAAGTTTTCCGATTTCAACCCGAACACTTCCAAATCCCAAACTAACCATCCTTGCAAGTCAAAAATCAATAAAAACAAGTACGGGAAGTCTTATTCAGGGGAACGAGGTTCTAGAAAGCAAAACGACCGGTCGGGTCGTTACATTCTCCACCTCTTAAACAAACGTTCATCCTCGAACGTGTTTAGATTCATACCTGAAGTGCTGAATAAGTGTGGATATCTGCTCTGCATCTCCTCCTCGGACTCCCAGTTCGCCTCCTCGACTGGTTGGCCCCTCCACTGAACCTTTACCGCGAAAATCCTCTTAGATCTCAACTGGCGATCCTGTCTAGCAACAATAGCAACTGGCTCCTCCTCATAACCCGAGCTCTCATCTAACTGAATAGTGATGAAGTCTAACACGTGTGACAAGTCGTCATAATATCTACGGAGCATAGACACGTGAAAAACTGGATGAAACCCTGATAGGCTGGGAGGTAAAGCAAGCTCATAGGCAACCTCCTCAACTCGACTCAACACCTCAAATGGGCCTATAAACCTTGGGCTCAACTTGCCCCTCTTTCCGAATCTCATAACACCCTTCATCGGCGAGACTTCAAGAGAACCTTCTCACCGACCATAAATGTTACATTGCGCGCCTTCTGATCCGCGTAACTCTTCTGTCTAGACTGTGCTGTGCGAAGTCGCTCCTGAATCAACTTTACCTTTTCCAAGGCATCCTTTACCAAATCAGTACCATATAACCTAGCCTCACCGAGCTCAAACAACCCGATGGGAGAACGACATCGTCGACCATATAAAGCCTGAAATGGAGCCATCTCGATGCTGGACTGATAACTGTTGTTGTAAGCAAACTCGACCAAAGGAAAGAACTGATCCCATTGTTCCCCAAAGTCAATAACACATGCTCTTAGCATGTCCTCCAATATCTGAACTGTCTGCTCTGACTGGCCGTTGGTCTGTGGATGAAATACTGTGTTGAACTCTACACGGGTCACTACAACAAAAAGGGGCTTTAGCGGCAATAAAAAGGGCATTGGCGGCAATAACAATAGCCGCTATATCATTTACCGGCCATTGATGTTTAGCCGCTGAAATCAGGGTCGGCAAAGCCTTTAGCAGCATTTCTCACAAAAGCTGGTAAAAGGTCTGACTTATTGCCGCTAAATATCATTTGCTTTAACGGCAATTGTTTGCGGCAATTATGATGGCTACTAAATCCAATCTAAAATGGCTACTAATGCTCTTTTTACGTCCATTTTTATAGCCGCTAAATTCAAAATAATTGTCGCTAAAGGTCTACACCTTTAGCAGTAATTGTTTTGTGGCAATTAGAATGGCTATAATATTCCTTCTGAAAACGTATTAGTATGCCCTTTTAGCATCCATTTTAATGGCTGATAAATTCAATTAAATTGCCGCTAAAAGTTATCTTTAACAGCAATTATAATGGCTACAATATCCTCTGTAGAAACAATATAATTTTCCCTTTTATCATCTATTTTTATAACCAATATATCCTGTTAAATTGTCAGTAAAAGTCACAAGCTATAACGACAATAGTTTAGTCACCATTAATAATAGATACTACATTCGTTCAAAAAATTATCAACATAATAATATTGATTCATAAATACATAATGTAATTCATTAAATATTAAAAACTAAAAGGAAGTACTAATCCAAAAGATTAATATCACAGTAACTTAAAAAAATATTTATATTGTTAGAAGAAAATAGCTAGTGTCTTAATTATATAACTAATCCTAACAAATAATAGTCTTCAAATAATTAATGCAATGCTTCATCATATGGAGATCTTCCGCCCGCTAAATTATCGATCATCAGACTGTATGACCTAAATTATAAAATAACTATGTCAATAGATGAAATATAATAGTCTTCAACTAGGATGTTTATCCAGCAAAAGTATTAAATTCATATAGCATGGCATACATGTTGGATTTAGAGGAAAATAATTGCCTTAATAATAGATTTAATAAGTTAAATAGAGCTCAGACTAGTTGGACTATCAGATTGGCTTTTACAAGTATATGACTGTAGTACAAGTATACAACAACTATTATGCCTCAATCCCATGCTAGTTGGAGCTTGCTTTATAAATCACTCACTATTCATTTGGACTCTTAATAGAAGCAAATTTGTATCAACATAGTGCATGCGTGATTCAAGCTTCTAGCTTCCTCTTTTTCAAGAAAATATCTTTATAAACTTCCAGCTTCCACTAGCACTGATCTCCTCTTGTCCCATCTATAGATGAATTACCAAGTATTCAAATTTGACTATATCAAGTAAATCAGGAAAAAATTCCCTACAAACTATATAGGAGAAACAATCTTTAGTATATCCATAATAATGATAGATTTTTTCACAACTCAAAAACAAACAACAAAGAAGAATCAACTAAAACAATCTGATAATACCTGAACATAGAAGAACATGGGACGGTTGGGCACAGGCCACAGGAAATCAATGCATGTTGATTGCCCTTCATTGATGGTTTGGAATGTAACTTCATAAAAGCTATTTGGTGGAATCTCAGATAAAGCAGGATGCATACGATATTGTACCTGGAATTACAAACAAACAGACAACAGAATCAACATTAGTAATGGAATACAAGAATTCTGATGCTTTACAGAGTTAAAAAAAATAGTTAAATAAAGTTAAATAATACTTTAAAAGAGGAAGTAACCAGGCAACTCTAAGTCCAAGGAAATAAAACAGAAAAAAACGAGGTGCGCAAGAGGGGATTAATGATTATTGCTTGGCAAGCAAATAAAAGCAGCTAGAATGAGAAGCATAGAAACTCAAAACAGCTCAGATACACAAGCTACACTAGATAACGACATAACCGAATAACATAATACTACATGAAGCATAGAAAAATCAGAAAACCTTAAAACTAGCATGATTTGTTGCAGCTCCGCCACACAAAAAAAAGGTATGGGGAAGTGGCGGATTAGTGAAGAAAAGTTAAAATACCAGGAACATCTTACTCCACAATCCTCCCCCCCCCCCCCCCCCCCCTAATAAAACAACAAAGCAGACTTCTCAAGTCTTCATAGATGACTAAAAAGCACTTCTAATCACTATGCCAACTATATGGGAAACAAGAGAATAACTGGAAAGAGAGAATCTCAAATTTAACTTCAGCCACTGCCAACCCTGATAGACATGTTAACACATCAACAGACAAGCAATCACCTGTAACCTAATTGGCTTCACTCCTAAAAACACAAGCATAAATAAAAATTGAGCAAGTCTAGCACGTGTCGCTTTCTTGCACATAATGACTGGTCCAAGCTGGCAGTGGTCACCGACAAGAATAGCCTAGTATAAAACTCACAGTAAGATCCAATATTGTAATATACTTTAGTGTGACATTTTTTCATAAATGAATGTCAACATGACATTAATTGCAATAGTGACCTGTTTTGCACCAAGAACCAAAGGAATATGACATTCAGGCTCAGTAACCTGAGTGGATTCATCATAAGCACCTACCAAGAAGTTTAACACAATTGAAATATTAAAACAAGCAAGAATCCAGAATGAGTACATAAGAACAAAAATAAGAAACTGAAGATCTAAAATAGTTAGGAAATTCTCAAATCTTTAGTAATAAGGTAAACCAACCTGGCGGAATCTGAAATTAGCCAATCCAGGATCTCCAGCACCAACACATGCGCAACAAATTACATCAACACTCTGAGCTATTCCCTCTCCGTTTCCCGTTTCAAAGCTTTATGCTTCTTCTCATCACTCGTGGAGAACTCTCCTGAAAGTTCATAAATCAAATGACTCTGAATCATGTGCACACATTTAAAATGCTCTAATAAAGGATATATAATGAGAATGAGAAAAAAACCCGAGCACTACGCTAAAAGTATAACCATGTAAATGCGAAATCCCCCCGATACATATGAGGCCAAAGAAAATCCAGGAAAGTAACACAAACCTTGTTCATCCTTCAATTGCTGTAACTTGTGCAGTTCACTCTTCTCACATGTGTCAATATGGCGAACCTGTATAAAGAAAAGTTTACAAAATATCATTAAAAATAGAATGATATATAAAAATTTGAGAATAAGAAATTAAAAAACTAACCTGATATTGAAGGGTTAAATGCTCGACAGGAGAACTGACAGCTTCCCTTGATTTGGCACAGAGCCTGACCGCCTGGAAAAAAGAAAATTATATGAGGAAGGACAGAAAATTGTCACAAATTAAAGAAAAAGAGGAAGCTGGAAGTTTAGACATTAAAAGAAGCATCTTAATTAACTGAAAGATACTTTATATTGGAAGTTTGTATCAATATAGTGAAACTACCTAAAATAATAACACGACTAGGCACATATTTTCTTGTTCTTTTCGAACATTCAGTCGGTCATAGTCATAAGCATCTTGGACTTTTCAAAATTTGCTACAAGCTCCCCATATGTTATAATAGCTAGCACAAGGTTATGATGGAAGCATAAACCACATATTCCTTCACATGTTTTAAACTATTAACTTGTAAACCAACAATTCCTTCACTTAATAAACTACCAATCCCTTCTAATTTTGTTGTACAATAAAGGAGGCTAGACTATTGTTCATGCATTTAAAATCAAGAGAAAGTGTCCATCATGTCTATAGGCGAAAAATATTAGAGCAAACAACTGTTGTCAGAAGGAACACTTCCCCATGATGGTTTAGAAGAATGAATGATATGAAATTATTTTACAAATAAAAGATTGAGTTTTATAGTTATCTGTTTTCCATTCCATAACAAATTGAACATAAGTTAAAAAGGAAAAGAGCATTATGTTAACATATTTAACGCAAGTGCAGCATCATGAGGTCCCCAACTCACTCTGTACGGCTCTCAAGAAATGTGAAGTGAACTGACGGACTCTATCTGATATGATGAAAACAGGCACACCGTGCAACCGAACTATCTCCCGAATATAAATCTGGGCCAATTTCTCTGAAGTATATATAGTCACAACCAGAATGAAGTGTGCTAACTTAGTCAACCTGTCGACAATGACCCAAACTGCATCAAACTTCCACAAGGTCCGCGGCAACCCAACTATAAAGTCCATGGTAATGCGCTCCCATTTCCACTCAAGTATAGTCATCTGTTGAAGTAGGCCACCTGGCCGCTGGTGTTCATACTTGACCTGCTGGCAATTTAGACACCTAGCCACATACTCAACTATGTCTTTCTTCATCCGCTGCCACCAATAATGTTGTCACAGGTCACGATACATCTTCGTAGCACCTGGATGAATAGAATACCGAGAATTGTGTGCCTCCTCTAGAATCATCTCCCTCAAGCCATCCACATTAGGACCACACAGATGACCCTGGAGTCGCAAGACACCATCCTCGCCAATAGAAACCTCCTTGGCAGCACCCTGTAGTATCGTCTCTATAAGGACTGCCAAGTGCGGATCATTAAACTGTCGAGCCTTGATCTGTTCTAATAGTGAAGACTGGGCAACAGCACATGCAAGAACTCGGCTAGGCTCTGAAATGTCCAACCTCACAAGTCTGTTAGCCAAGGACTGAATGTCCAAATCTAGTGGCCTCTCCTCTACTGAAATGAATGCCAAGCTACCCGTACTCTCTGTCTTCCTGCTTAAGTCATTCGCAACCACATTTGCCTTGCCCGGATGATAAAGAATGGTGATGTCATAATCCTTCTGTAACTCAAGCCATCTACGCTGCCTCAAATTGAGATCATTTTGCTTGAACAAATGCTGTAAGCTGCGATGATCAGTGTAAACCTCACATGACACCCCATAAATATAATGCCTCTAGATCTTAAGAGCATGAACAATCGCGGATTACTCTAGGCCGTGCACAGGGTAATTTATCTCATGAATTTTCAGCTGACACGAAGCATATGCAATAACTCGCCCCTCCTGCATCAATACACAACCCAGGCCAACGCGTGAAGCGTCGCAATATACCGTATACATCCCCGAGCTGGAAGGCAACACTAGAACCGGTGTTGTAGTCAAAGCTGTCTTGAGCTTCTAAAAGCTCCCCTTACAATCATCGGACCAATGGAATGGAGCACCCATTTGGGTCAATCTAGTCAGAGGTGCTACAATGGATGAGAAACCCTGCACGAACCGGCGATAATAACATGCTAACCCCAGGAAACTATTGATCTCAGTCACCAAAGTGGGACAAGGCCAACTCTGAACTGCCTCAATCTTCTTGGGATCCACCTTACTACCCTCTCCTGATACAACATGCCCCAAGAATGCCACAAACTCTAGCCAAAACTCACACTGGAAGAACTTAGCATATAGATTATGTTCTCGCAATGTCTGAAATACTACTCTCTAATGTTGCTCGTGCTCCCCCAGGCTACGTGAGTAGATCAAGATGTCATCAATAAAGACAATAACAAACGAATCAATATAAGGCCTGAACACCCAGTTCATCAAATCCATAAACGTCGCTGGGGCATTAGTCTAGCCAAAGGACATCACTAGAAACTCATAATTTCCATATCTAGTACGGAAGGCCATCTTCGGAACATCTGAGACCCGAATATTCAACTGATGGTACCCTGACCTCAAGTCGATTTTAGAAGCACCCTGCAACTGGTAAAACAAATCATCGATACGCGGCAACGGGTACTTGTTCTTGATGGTAACCTTTTTCAACTGGCGGTAATCAATGTACATCCGCATAGTCCCATCTTTCTTCTTCAAAAATAACACTGGTGCACCCCAAGGTGATACACTTTGTCTCACAAACCCCTTTGCCAATAACTCCTCAAGATGCTCCTTCAACTCTTTCGGAGCCATACGGTACGGTGGGATAGATATAGGTTGGGTTCCTGGAGCCAAATCAATACAGAAATCAATATCACGATCTGGCAGCATGCCTGGAAGGTCAGAAGGAAACACATCGGCGAACTCCTGAACTACTGGCAATGAATTAATCGTCGGAGACTTTGCGGTTGTATCCCGAACATAAGCTAGATTTGCTAAACAACCCTTCTTGACCATATGTCGAGCCTTCAGAAAAGAGATGATCCGACTAGCTGTACTAACAAAGGAACCCTTCCACTCTAATCTCGGTAACTCTAGCATCGCTAAGGTAATAGTCTTGACATGACAATCAAAGATGGCGTGATATGGGGATAACCAGTCCATGCCCAGGATGACCTCAAAGTCGATCATACCAACTAACAGAAGGTCCACTCTAGTCTAGTAACCACAGAATGTTACCACACAGGACCGGTAGATTCGATCCACAACCACAGAATCATCCACAGGAGTGGACACAAAAACAGGAGTACCCAAGGACTCACGAGGACTATCCAGGAAATGAGCAAACAGAGATGACATCTATGAATAGGTAGACCCTGGATCAAATAATACTGAATCATCCCTACCGCATACAAAAATAATACCTGTGATCACGGCATTGGAGGCCACTGCATCTTGTCTGGCTGGAAAAGCATAGAATCTAGCTGGAGCGCCGGCTGGCTGGCCTCCGCCTGGCTGAACAATAGCTCCCCCTGCCTAGCCTCTACCTCTAGGACAGCCCCTACCTGCCTGTCCTCCGCCTCTGGGCGGTCGGACGGCTAGTGCTGTAATCATAGGCTGATGACCCTGCTGTACTGCCTTGACCCGAAGTCTGGGACAAAATCTCTTCAGGTGAGCTAGATCCCCACACTCGTAACAGCCCCACGGTACCATAGACTGCTGCCCCAAAGTCTGACCCTGATGGCTTGAATACCCACTGGGAGGACCCTGAATGGCTGGTGAACGGTATGAACTCTCTGGGATGGCACTGAAATAGGCACCGGAAGAACCCTAATGAACTGGTGGACGATAAGAACTCTCTGGCATAGCACAAAAATAGGGTCGCGTTGGAGCACCCCGAGGAGGTGGTGGTGGTGCTGGATATGTGGGCCTGTTAGGCTGCCCCTCCCAAACTGAGCTCTGCCCCTAGCTGGGGCACCTCTAAACTCTCCAGAGAATCGGGTCCTCTTGTCCTGCTACATCTTCTCTTTACCCCTCTGGCGTTAGCCCTCAATCCTTCGAGCAATCTCTACCACCAGCTGACAATCAGTACCCAACTCAACCTCTCTGGCCATGCTAGCTCGAATACTAGGGTGCAACCCCGTAACAAATCTCCGCACTCTCTCTGCATCCGTAGGAAGTATCATAAGTGCATGGCGAGACAACTTAGAAAATCTCGCCTCATAATCGGTAACAGACATCTCACCCTACTCGAGCTGCTCAAACTGACACCGCAACTCTTCCCTCTGGGAGGGTGGAGTATACCTATCCAAGAAAAGCTGTGTAAACTGGTCCTATGTCATGGGAGGAGAACCCACTCGCCTGCCGAGAAGATAATACTGCCACCATCTGCGGGCCCTGCCCTCCAACTAGAAAGTGGTGAAATCTACCCCATACGACTCTAATATCCTCATGTTGTGCAGTTTATCCCTGCACCTATCAATGAAGTCCTGGGGGTCCTCATGTCGCTCACCTCCGAAGACAGGAGGGTGTAGCCTAGTCCATCTGTCCAAGAGCTTTTACGGCTCGCCAGTCGCAGCTGGTCTAGGCTCAGGTACAACCGGTGCAACTGGCTGGGCTCTGTACGCGGGTAGTGTACCCGGAGTCTGATACACTACAACTGTATGCCCAGGAGCCTGAGCGGCAGGGGTCTGTGATCCCCCTCCCGCATGGGATGTGGCTGGGTCTGCTGGAAATAAACCAACCTAAGTCATAGAATCCATGAACCGTAGCATACGACCCATGACCTCCTGAAAGCCTGCTGCTATCATAAAATCTACTGGGGCAGGCTCTACTGCGGGAACCTTGGCCTGATCTTCAATAACGGGATCATCTACAGGATCCGCTGGTGGTGCAACTGGGGCAGCTCTGGGATGCCCTCGTCCCCTACCTCGGGTCGCTGCCCTCCCCCAGCCTCTGCCTCGGCCTCTAGCAAGGGGGGAGCAGCTCCTCCCGGGTCTGGAACGTCCGTTGTACGCGTCCTCACCATCTGTGAGAGAATAGAAGAAGGAAATTTAGTATACCATCAACTGCACGATAAAAGATGAATAAAGAGTAGTTTCCTAATACCCTATAGCCTCTCGAAGATAAGTACGGATGTCTCTGCACCGATCTGCAAGACTCTACTAGGCCTGCCCATAACTTGTGAGACCTACGTTAACCTAGTGCTCTGTTACCAAGTTGTCACGACCCAATTCCATTATAGGTCGTGATGGCGCCCAACAC